TGCAGGTTCTGCGGTCCAATCACAACTCTTACTCAAGCCAAAGCCATTCCTCTGCAAGTGCTTACAAACACTTGTTGGTTGCATTAGCCCTAGCAATCACAGACCCAACTCAAAACAGGCCTCAGTGTGAGGAAAGATCTATTTCTTTTTATATGCCAGTAGAAGTTTTCTTAGCAAAGTCCACAAGTAAATCCCACCGGGAGATGTATCCCGAGGGAATGTGGCTGTACCCATCTTAAATGTAAGCAGAGGACTGAGCCCCCAGTGATCGGTCCCAATACCAACACCCCTGCAAATGAGTTTGCCCTCAGGACTTCAGCCCAGGAGCTGCAAGCAGAAATGCCATTCGCTCCAGCAATAATGATGTACTCACCCACGTCAGTCCCCACAGGCAGCCAAGCTTCCACTGGCCCGCAACCCTCTCACACACCCGTCCCACTGCAAGGACGTGGTCCGAGGACCCGTGGGGAACAGGAGATATTCTCCGCCCCTTCCAGAACAAGGGGCAAAGGAATGGAGGGAGAGGGTTGAGGGCGGGGGTTGGGGGACTTGGTTTCTGGAAACAAGAATTCAAATCCTGCTTCTGCTAAACCCTGAGTCACCTCCTTCTCTTCCAATAGATCAGTGTGGTGGGTAAACATTTCCAAATATGGAGAAGCAGGCTGGAGGATGTCAGTGAAAGCGCCCTTCTCTGCTTTGGCACTCGAAGAACATGCGCCACTTAAAAGAGAATTCCTTACTCGGAGTAAATGATTAATCTCCAAAGAAGTGGAGTCTCAAGAGTTCCATAGCCTGTCCTGTCAGGAGAAAGATTCCCTGTCAAATCCAAGAAGTGACCAGTTTTTTCGAGACCTTTCCTTTCACCTTAGGAGCAGGGCCACCTGAACCGCAACTTCATTTATGAAGTCGATCTATCCTGACAAGGGAGGGCAAGTGAGGGGGTGTGGTATGAGCAGGTAGGCACATGCTGAGGATACAGTGTGCTGTTCTTTGGATGGAAGATGAGTCTCAAAACAACCCTGACGCTCAGACCGTACTCACCGAGCTTCCAGCTGGGCAAAACCCTCCTGAGAAGTGAGTTGTGTGAGAGCTTGATAAAGGACAGATAGCAGGCACGACAAGCACAAATACATTTTTCCATAGTCTCGATCATGAATTCCATACATACGTGATCCATTTCTTCCAGAACAATCGACAAGGTGGAAGTGGAATGCCCTATTCAGTTTGCAACAATTCTGTTGGCCTTTGCAGTGCTGGGAATCAAACTCAGGGCCTCACATATGGAAAGCCGGTGGCAGGAACACTAAACTACTTCCTTGCTCCTTCGTCTGTATGATTCAGCAGAAGCATCTAAAACCCGTGAAATAACTTACTTGGACTAGTGAGGTCAGTCCAGAATGAATATGATCCACAATGACTGCAAAAGGACTAAAAGGACTGATGCTGGGGGAATGAAGGTCTGAGATAAATATATATTCTCAAAAAAGAGAATCCATGTTTCTGGCTTTCCAGAGGTTCCATTTGGTGGTGTGATCTCATTCTACCATTGGCGCTAAAGGCTTGCTGCAGGTCATTTTTCAGAATTGTTGACCATTTCCTGGCTTGGGGCCAGTCACATGCAGCTTCCTGTCCTCATCTTCCAGAAAGTTTCTAGCAAAAAACAGCACTCATCAGGGAGTGTGGGGACAAGAGTCCAGTCTTTAGCAGTCTGTAAGACTTTGGACAAATCAGTTCTTCTCTTATAACTTTTATTTCTTTATCCACAGATTGGGTGAGATTCCCAGATTTTCAGGTATGATCTTGAACAGCATTCTTCAACCACTGGTCCACAAACCAGTGCAGGCCCACATATAGAAAGGTTGAAAACCACTAGTCTATACAAGAGATGCCACTTCTTGACATCTAAACCCAAAACACATTCATGTTAATTCAATCAGATATAAGCATAACCTCTGATCACTGCAGATCACCGGCAAGATATGGAAACAACCCAAATATCCAGCAATCCAAATGTCCAAGTAGAAATGAATGGATCAAGAAGTTATGGTTTACTTGCACAAGGGAATACCCCACAGCTGTAAGAATAGACAAAATCAAGTAATTTGCTGTTATGTGGATGGACTTAGAGGATGTTCCTGATGAGTGAAGTCGGTCAGAAAGAAGTTACATAATGAATTGCCTCATATGTGGATATAAAGATACAAAGTGCAAAACGACAAACTGTCAAAGACACCAGCAACAGATTACTGGTCCACAGAACTGAGTTGAGGGTGGGTCCTTTGTAGGAAATTGTCCCCCTAATAAAAACCCTAAGGTTGAAGTTGTCCCCTAGGCAAAATAGTTTAGTAATATTAGAGAATGCTTAGGGCAAGCAAACAAAGGCTACAATAAACCATTTTAAGGTCTTTTAGATGTAGAAAGTAACAACACAAGAAAAACAGAACAAAAAATTGCCATGACTTTATATATTCAGGCTAACTGCTGATTTGCTGTGCAAAATATCCCATCCCTTGTTCTCAATATATTCATTGAATTTTGATGTGCTAACTAAAAGATAGCTTAATGTACCCATTGAATTCTGATTGCTAACTAGTGTCTCTGTCAACTTAAACAATAGCTCATGATGGACGGCAACTTTGTATTAGGGCCAGCCGGTTAGCACCCTTAGGGCTGCCCAGATGACTAAAGTTTAGACAGTCCTTCTGTGTTTATCTCCTAGTAGGTTTGTCTCATTCTCTGTGACCGCAGGTAGATGGTGGTTGCCAGTCTGATTGACTTTATTGTAGTAAATTATTCTTTAGTCCTTCAAGCACAAGTACCTCTCTTTCTCTTGATCAGTGAGAACCACTGTCTCAGGGATCACAAAATGAAAAAAAAAACCTGTAAAGGTTATTGTATCGTGCAAGAGAGATAGTACTGGGGTTAAAAAAATTGCCTTTTGTATGGTTGGCCCAAATTCAATCCCTGATACTGTGTGTTTCTTAAGTGCCACCAGTAGTGACCCCTGAGGACAGAGCCAGAAGTAACCTATGAGCATTTCCAGCTGTGGTCCAAACCTCCCCACAAAGAATGCTGTTGATCCCAACGTCCACTTCTACCCCAGTCAGTATCCCTAGTGTCATCCCCACAGAGGCAGAAATCATTTCCTCCTACAGAGGCAAACTCCACCCTTCCAACAGAACATTTTTCCTTTCAGGGAAATAAAATCCAGCTCCCTTAACTCCTCATGTTGCCTCTTAGAATTATACAGACAACTGAAGTTCAGTCTCACTGCTTAGGAATGTTTGGTAGATGACTGTGTATCTAAAAACGTAGCTTTCCAGGATCTTACCCCTCAGCCACTTTAGCTATCTCTGGACCACATCACACAGCTGACTCTGAAAGCATTTGGTCCCAATTTGAAACTAATCCTTGTCGGATTTTTCCAATAAGTTACTGCAAAGCAACTAGTTCTGCGTGTGTACCTGTGTGGGTGGCCTTTTGGACTTGGAAAATACAAATTATTAAATCTTAGTCATTGATAAATGACTTGTGTATTCAATATGCCAAAACCAGTAATTACAACTGGTCTTATTCACCTAAATAAGAAAAGACAGACCCTCAAAACCGGCTCTGCATCACTTCCGCTCCTCATCCAGATCACACTCCCATGCATTGAAATCACTATGCATGAAGCTCAGGGATGGAGCGTCCATTCTCACCATCCCACTTCTCTCGGGTGCTGCCACCAGGATGCACACAGCTAATTATAAGAAACAAGGAAAGAGAGAGTTCTATAGAGAAATATGGTTGTGGCAGAACAAGAACCCTTGTCACCAAATAGCCAGCGAGGTCAACTGATCAATCACAAGACTGGGAGCACAGGGCAGGGCACCATCCTTCAGCCCACTGTGTTTCCGAAAAAGGGGAGAAAACAGTCTTCACTGAAACATTTCTAGGTGCACCATTTGGATTCAAGATACACAAGATCATGATGCCAAATACACATAATATCTTTACCACTTAGTAAACGCTTTTCCAGACAGATCCACTGAACTACTACAAACAACTCCTCTGCCATATCATACCCAATTTAGTAATCAGAATTCTGAAGATCAGTGAGATTTTATTCCCAAGATCACACCACTGCACCAATAGCAAAGAGTGAGGGGGAAAAAAAAGAAGATAGGTTGAGGAGCCAGACTACTTGAGATTCCAGATTCAAGTCAGCCTCATACAAACTGTTTGACCTCTGGTCAATCATTTGAGTTTCTAAATCTCCGTTTCTATGCCTGAAAATTAAAAATTAAAATAGACCCTCTGCCCACCTCTCAGTGCAGTTACCGGGATCGAATGAGATAATGCAAATCAAAACCCTCTGGAAAATGAGAAGGCGTTATAAAAGTGTGAGGGATTATTGTGTGATTACTTGTAAATGACTGTGCATTCCATTCCAAATACAAAAGCAGTGAGGTCATTTTCTAGACAAAGAAACATGAGGGCCCTGGGAATAAAGGAAGATGAGTTGAAGTTCCATGGGCTGTGTCTAGATGCTACTCACTCTTGAAGCTACAGCTCGGCGGCAACTGTCAGGCTTCCAATCCCCATATCCCAGGTTTACAGGACTCCTCAAGACAAATTCTTCCCTTTTTTTAGCTATAAGCAAAGTGCCAGACCAAGAAGAGGTAATAGGGAGGGATGTTTGGGAGACCCCCTGAGATTCTCCCTTCCGGAAATGTGGCCTGATTTGTTTTCCTTGGAGAAGTTGTTAGAAACACAGGCTCCAGTCTCTCTTTCAAAAGGCCCATAGGGAAATAAATGTACAGTAAGGAGCTACTTACCAGAGACTAAGCACTAAGAAAGCTCCCGAGCATGAATTAATCAAGGGCACAGGATATTTCAAGTTGCAGATACCAAAATGATAGAAATCTCCAATCCATTAAACCACCTGGCCGAGCTCACAAAGGCTCAACCTGAACAATTCAGGCAGCCAGGACAGCAAAGGAGGTTCAGTTACATACCAGAGGTGCTGCTGCAGGGCACAGGCAGCTCTGAGAATGCAGGTGCTGATCAGGCTTCCTTCAGGCTTCTCCCAACACACTACTTGTCAGTTCCTCTTCGATTTCTGCAAATATTCAAGTTACAGAGATCATTTATTGAAGGGTCAAACCTTCCTCAAATCCATTCCCAAGGCTGCTGCCTGCACAATTTAATGATGATTCTTTTCTGATTTTCAGTTTTAGCAGCTGCTTCTCTGCGCCTAACATTGGATAAATGTCAAATTGTGGGAAATCATCTCCTGAACGATGGGGTTCCCAGGGTTGGTCAAGGTCCTCCCCCCCCCCCCCCCAGCCAAAACAGTTTAGGTTCACAATGACCTCTTAGTATCTGTATCGCAAATCACAATGCCCAGAATTACAGAGAGAGTAAGAAGGACTGTATCTGCTACAGAGACAGGGAGTGGGGTAGGGTGGGGGTGGCGGGTGGGACACTGTGAACAATGGTGGTGGAAAATGGGCACTGGTAGCAGGATGGCTGCTTAAGCATTGCTCGAATGAAACGCAATCATGCAAGTCTGTAACTATCTCACTGTGATCCAATAAAAAAAACTCATTTTAAAAAAATAGGTTTTTTTAGAATATGGACAAGAAAAAATGCACTCCAGACAGAACAGAAGAGATAAGAGACTCATCAAAAATACATCCAGGAAAGAATAGGAGAAAATAGGGTCTTTTACATGTAGAGGATTGGAGTGATAGCACAGCGGGTAGGCATTTGCCTTGCACACAGCCAACCCGGCCGATCCAGGTTCGATTCCTCTGCCCCTCTCGGAGAGCCCGGCAAGCTACCGAGAGTATCTCGCCCGCACGGCAAAGCCTGGCAAGTTCCCCGTGACGTATTTGATATGCCAAACACAGTAACAAGTCTCACAATGGAGACGTTACTGGGCCCGCTCGAGCAAATCCATGAACAACAGGAAGTCAGTGCTACAGATGTAGAAGAATGCAAGAATAGAATTAAAAAATATTCAGAACTTTATACATTAAGGGAGCCTGCTGTTTGGCTATCCCAGTCTTTGCTCATCATGTACCTCTGGAGATTTGATGCACTTACTAACTGTCCTTCGTGTCCCTGTCACCCAAACAATGGCTCACAAATTGGGTTGGGATCAGGTTGTGAAAGGATCTTGCACTGAATTTCAAGAGCAATTTCAAGAGCCATGACCTCAGTAACTCCCCCTAAAGGGAAATAATGGACTCTGGGGCAGGATATTAAGAGAAAGTGGGATGGGAACGGGAAAAGCTGAGGGAATAAAGCACATTCTAGGTAAAAGATGTGCAAAACAGTAACAAGTCTCACAATGTATTTTTTTTTAATTTTTTATTAGTGAAACACCATGAGGGACAGTTGTAGACTTACAAATTTTTGTGCTTGGGTTTCAATTGCACAATAATCAAAAACCCATCCCTCCACCAGTGCCCATTTTCCACCACCACAGGTCCCAGTATCCCTCCCATCCCCCATCCCCCCATCCCACCCTGCCTCTGTGGCAGGGTATTCCCTTTTGTTCTCTCTCTCATACTGGGTATTGTGGTTTGCAAAAGAGGCATTGAGTGGCAATCATGTTTAGTCTATAGTCTACTTTCAGCATGCTTCTCCCATCCTGGGAGGATCCTCCCAACACCCTTTATTTGGTGCTCCTTTCTCTATCTGAGCTCCCTTTTCCCCTAGAATGTATGGCTGGCCTCCAAGCCATGGAGCAAAACTGGTACTAATCTTGGGCTCTCTTGGGTGTTAGTCTCCTATTTTGTTACTTTATGTTCCCCAGATGAATGCAATCTTTCTGTGTCTATCCCTCTCTTTCTGACTCATTTCCCTTACCATGATACTTTCCATCACAATGGAGAAGTTACTGGTGCCCGTTCGAGCAAATCGATGAACAACGGGTAAAAAGAAAGTCTGTGTTCCCCAGGAAATGGGGAAGAGTCTGGAGGCCATGAGTAGGAAGGGTGGACCAATAAATGGGAATAAACAGGGAGCTCAAAAAGGTAAGCTGAAGCCAAATAATTTTAATACAATAAGGTGTTGAATTCTATTTCCAAAAGTCGAGTCTTTGAGAAGCAAAACATCATATCACAGATCATTTATTTTTTTAAATCAGGCCTTAGGGTGGACTTTTTTTCATGCTTTTTGTTTTTGTTTTGTCCTGGTTTTAAGTTTTGTTTTTGTCTCTTAGTTGCTAAGGTATTTGCTGGGGGGAGGGTGATGTTTTTTATTTTGGAGGGGGTTTTTGGCTATTGCCATTGGCTCTTTGGCTGTTACTCTGGCTCCTCATTGCCAAATAATTTAATGATTGTTGACATTGCAGTAAGCACACTGCATGCATCAGCCCATCCACAAGCCAGTGAGCTGGGCATTCTCACTGCGGTCTTCCAGAGGAGCAATGGCGGCTTAAAGAAAACATAAAAGTGGGCAAGTCTCAGAGAGGGTAAGGGGAGGGAGCCAAGATGAAATAATTCACAATACAAACTAAACCTTAACAAGTCTAGACTGTATTCTCATTTCTCACTCTCTTTTTTCCCATTGCCCAGATGAGATGAAATCATCCTCCTAACAACCGTATGTGGCGAACATAATCGTCTCCAGTCCGAGTTGACTCTCTGTGGTCGCCCCACGAGGGTCCCAAAGTCAGTAACCTTGCTTGTGTTGTCAGCACCATGCACGCAGCGGACATGCAATAACTACATGGATTCAGTCAGAGAGCGTCTTTGAAGGCTGGGCCAAGGCAGTAACCCAATACTAGCTAAAATTTCCATTTTCTTATGCAGAGAAATGGAATGAATTTCAGTGAGGTCTCCAAGGACCAAAAGGTAGGTAGAGACAGCCATGTAGAAAGGCACGGGTCAAGGTTCACGTGGGCGGGGCAGCTACTGAGACTGTCCATGACTCTGAAGCTGCTTGCCTGTAAGCTGAAGGCCTCATGGGGAGGCAGAGAGAAAGTACATTTCTCTGAACAAAAGGAAATAGCTCCTGGACCCCTTACAACCGTGACAACTGCTAAGCCACTTTGTCAGTCGGGGGACTGATCAGGCAGCACTGAGGTTTTCAAGCGTTTCCCCCGCCCCACCCCCTTTTGGTTAGCAACAGTTTTCCCTTTCACGTAAATGTTTTGCAGATGCTAGCAAAGTAGATAACAGTACAGTTGCTCAACCGAGCTCCAGATTCTCCTGCCCTCCTAATCATCTCACCCCTTGTCACTTAGGAAGAGACTCAGCACCCTAACTGCAAACCCCAAGGCCATTCCTGGGGTCTTCTGGAACAAGGAGGCATAGTCTGAAAACCAGCTGCCCCCTGAGCTCTTCCCAATACCTTAGTGCTCTAATTCAGGGACCTCCAAGGTCTGGAATGGCTCTTTTGCTTGTTGGTTTGGTTTGCTTTGGTTTGGTTTGGGGCCATACCCAAAGCTGTGCTCAGGGCCTACTTCTGACTCTGTGCTCAGAGATCCCTCTTGGCAGGGCTTCGGGGACCATATGAGGTGCCAGGGATCAAACCCAGGTCTGCATACAAAGCAAGTGTTCTACCTGCTATACTACTTTTAAGCATTGGAATATCACTTTCTAATACAGGGGTCCTCATTTATACCAGGAAGAAGGACAATATGTGGCATGCTAGGGAAAAGAGCTTTCCTAATTGGAGAGTCTGACAATATGTTTCAGAAGTGTGCATCACAAACTAGTTTCTTAATCAATGCCTCAGTCAATGCATCTATAAAATGGAAATAATACTAGCTAATTTTAGGAGCACGAAGTCACTTAATAAGCATGTTGTTTACCAGAATGCTATAATCATTATCAAATTGTGCCCAGTCTGACTATAAGTGTATCTTAGTCCGGAGACAGAAAAGAAGGTTACACTTTTCCAGGACTAAATAGATGGTCACAAACCGATGGAGATCCATTTATTTTCTTTCTTGATCTCATGGACATTTTTAAATTGAACAAACAAAATGACATCAATGAAGAGCTACAGAGATGAGCAGGAGATGTGTTCAAAAGTCCCTACAGCTCATCTATGGAAATATTACACCTTATCTCCGGAATCTCTGAAACTAATAGCCAATTCAGGCTTCTGGTGCCAATCAAGACAGTCATCGGTGGAAGAAAAATGTTTAAGAAAACTATTAATGAGACAAATAGTAGTATCAAATAGTAGTATGGCATGCCAGCTCCCTGCTGCCACAATGGCCAGCTGAGTTACCTAAGAAATTACCTGGCCTTTCTGAGTCTCACTGTCCTTACAAGGAAATAGAAATGAAGGCGACCCCTCCACTCGCCTTTCCCTGATGGGCATTAAAGCTCAAAAATCTAATTCTCATGCCCTGCCACAGAGGTAGAATGGGATGTGGGATGAGGGGTGGGAGGGATACTGGGACTGGTGGTGGTGGAGAATGGGCACTGGTGGAGGGATGGGTATTCGATCATTTTATAACTGAAAACCAAGCACAAAAATTCTTAAGTCTACAACTGTACCTCATGGTGTTTCACTAATAAAAATTTAAGGAAAAAAAAATCTAATTCCCAGCTGCCCTAAAGCCAACACTCAGGACCTCCAGGATAACATTTCAGCCACATCACACAAGATTATGCCATAAGGGGCCAGAGTGATATTACAGTGGGTAGGAGGTTTGTCTTGAACGCAGCTGACCAGAGTTCTATCCCTGACATTCCATATCAGCAACCGCCAGGAGTAATTCCTGAGTGCAGATCCAGGAGTAACCTCTGAACATCGCCGGTTATAACCCCCCCCCCAAAAAGCAAAAAAGAATTAAAAACAAAAATAAAAGATCATGCCATGAATTCCTGGCTTCCTTGGCTTCCTAGAAGATTCCAATTCCCCACAAACCCAAGGTGTAATGTTTCCAGATCAGTGCTGTGTCTCTACCACGGAGTCCAGAGGTTCTTCACTGTGCATTGAGGAAGCTCCTCCTAGTGGGGAAGGGACCCAGGATTGGGGTGTATCCTTTCTCTAAAGCTAGTCCAGCCAATTACTCATCCCAAAATATCCTCAACACCCAAAGGAATATCCTGTGTTTCTCTGCAGTCCACAAAGCTCTCCACCTGCCCC